ATATTGGGTCACACATATCCAAATGGCATTATTTTAAACAGATAAAAACACATACAATCCAAATATCCACCAGTACATGAGGGCTAAATAAATTGTGATAAACTGACTCACTGAAGTCTAAAGAAATATAATTTATGCTATAGAAGGAATCATCAGTTTTAAGTGAGATGAATGAAACAAAACAAAAATCCCCAAAAGAAGACAAAAGAAGGGGGCCGGGTAGATAGCTCAATAGAATAAGCACTTGCCTGGCAAGCACAATGGCCTGAGTTCTGCCCCCGCCCAAAAAAAGAAAGAAATGAAAGAGGGAAAACGAACACATTTTATGTCTTCTCCTGTAAAATTCTAGAAAACAAATGTCTTGCCTGATCCATGCTGCTACACCAAAGTGCCATACATGGGTGTCTGATGAGCCAAATAAATATAATTCTCACATTTCAGCAGGCTGGGAAATCCAGGATCGAAGTGGTAGTGGATTTGGTGTGCGGGAACTCCTTCCTGACTTCCACAGGGGGCTTCCACGCTGTGGCCTCAAAGCAGAAGAGGCTGTGAGCTCTGCCCAACACCAAATCCTATAATGAGGTCTTGGTCTATATTGCACAATCTCCTTCCAAAATCCCACACCTCCTAATCCCATTGAGTTGGGCCTACGACTTCAACTATATAGATTTGGGGTGGATCCAAACATCAGCTCATAGCAGTAAACTAATGAATAGTGACAGAAAGCAAATCAGATACAGGAGGTAGAAGTGATGGATTGTATAAGGATACAAAGAAATTTTACAGAAATGGCCATATTTCTTATTCTAATAGTAGTGATGGTTTCCTAGCTTTGCATGTTCTTATCAAAAGTGATCAAATTACATACTTAAAATATGAAATTTTCCTCCACCCTCCACTCCTCCTGAGCATGTGGGTGAGCTGTCTTGCTGAACCTCTCCATCATTAGTAAGGATTCAGTCTTGACTATTCCATCATGACTAAGGTCTTCCTGGAACACTTTCACAGAATGTCAAGGATGTGTAGAGTGACGTCATGGTGAAACACTCATCTGGCGCATCTGGTACTGAGAAGCAGGCTTTCGCGCTAGCGAGGCCTAATATTTACATTTACTGAAAAGTATTTTCCAAGAGATAAAATTATGCCATTGGTTCAGTTGTGTATTTAAGGAAATAAAATATTGTTTAAACCACAAAAAAAAAAAAAAAAAAAGAAATTTTGTGAATTTCAATTATGCCTCAAGGAAATTAAAAGTAGTCAGCGCTAACTAAAGCAAAGGTAAAATTACGTTGATTTCCAGATAGGGGATGATCATTATGAAAAATAGACATGTCTAGGACAAAATGTTTAAGTTGATATACTGAAGTCATTTTTCCTATCACCAAAATGTCACAGCAACTGCTTCTAAAGTATCACCAACTATGCTATGGAATAATTCCATTTCTGTTAAGACTTTTTTACTTGGGGAGATGTTTTCATCATGGCAAGAAAAATATTAGCCAATTTATCTACACAGAAACTTATTTTGTAGCTTTCCTGTTTTTTTTTTTTTTTAAATACTCAATTTAATCCATGGTAGAAATTATGCAATCATTTGAATTCTTATAAATTCAAAGTTTTTCTATTAATCAAATACTTCTTTTGAAAGCTATAGTAAAGCATATTATAAAACACTGAACAGTATATGCTTAAAATGAATGAAAAGCAAAATGTATTCACTGATATTTGTTTAACTTGAATGAAAAAAATCAATAAAATATTCTGGAAAGGCTGAGTAAGAATTTCAGGGTCTTAAATATCAATCATGATTTATTTTATATTTTACCAATGAAATGTTTGAACAAGACAATAGCTTGATTTGGACTTTTCTCTGAGAAGACCAATGCAGTGCTGAATTTTGATGTAGACTGGTCTTAACAGACAGGAAATTCCTGCGAGGATGCAAGTATGTTAAGAAGCAGCAAGAATAAATCTCTAGAGTCAATCGGGGTAATCAGCGAGGTTAAAGCTTTCTCCGTCGTTGGCCGTAGAGCACAATGAGAAGGGAAGAGTCAGCAGCACTCCAGCCTTTCATCTGTGTCCAAAAGAGCAGGTTCTCCACTGTGGAAGTCTGGTGATAATTCAGGAAGGTCACCAGGAAAGGGCTGAGGTTTGAAGACCCCAGAGTTCAAATTCAGGTGGCCTATTTAGCAGAGAGCACAACTGCTCAGCGAGATCCATCTAAAGCTTTCTGAAGAGACTCAAGTGACATCTGTTGTTCATGGTGGCCGGTGCTTAGGCCCCGGCTGTACCAGGGAGTGGGAGGCCAATTTTGTAGGAATGCTGTGTGCTCAGCATTCCCGCACTCTTCTGAGCAATTGCTTATTTTTCTTCCTGCCCTTCCATCTGTGCGTGCTGTACCAGACGATTCCCCAAGACTGGATTCCAGAATAATTGATAAATAGACGGTCTATTGTTTTATGAAGCACAATCTAATGTTTTGAAATATACAAGTGAAATGGCCAAATCTTGTTAATTAGTATATTTATTCCCTCACACTTTTTGTAGTAAGAATATTCGACGTAATCTCTTAACAGTTTTGCAGACATTCAATTACTAGTAGCAATCATAATGATCATGCTGTATAATGGACGCCCAGAATTCACTTGTTTTTCTAAGGAAACCAGACCCTTTCCCTGCCTTCTCGCATCCCCACTTCCCACCAGCAGGAGCCTCAGCAGCCAGGGTCTACTCTCCACTTCTCTAAATTTCAGTAGCTCAGGGTCCCTGCATAAGGGAGGCTATGCAGCATTTGTCTTCCTGTGCCTGGACTATTTCACTTAGTATAATGTCCCCAAATTTCATCCATGTAGTCACAGATGACAGCATCCCCTTCAGGGGGAACAATATTCCACTGACACCACATTTTCTTCCTTCCTCAGTGCTTAAGTTGATGCTATGTTAAGGAAATGTCAGGGTGCTTGCTGAAGTAGCCCTGTCATTTTACCTTCTTACCAGCAAATTACTAGCACTTTGGTTCCTCTATGTCCTTGTCAGCCTTCATTACAGAGCTGGGTTTTGTGCCATTCCGATGAGTAGGAGAGGGATTCTTTGTGGATTTTCGTATCTGTTGGATGAGAATTCTGTGCAGAATCAATGTGGTTTTTGGCCATTCATAGACATTCTCTGATGAATGCGATTTAAACTCTTTGTTCATTTAAAAACTTGAATTTTTTAAGATAATTGAGCTCTAGGCATTCTTTCCCCCCTCAATTTTCTACTTGGGTTGATAGCTTTCCCACATTTTGTTTTCCAGTACCAGGGATTGATCTCAGGACCCTGTGCTTGCCTGGAAGGTGCATAAGCCACTGAGCTATCTCATCAGCCCCCTTCCACTGCCCCACTCTTTATATGACCCAGAAACATCCTAATAAAATTTCTCCACTTAACTTGAGCACAATTTCAATCTAATTCTTGGAATCAAGAAATAGATGGTAACTGTAGAGATACATATCTAGACTTTTCCAAATAAAGTAGATTTTTTTTTAACTCTATGAGGTAAGAGTGCACACAATTTAAGGAATAGCAAGTGAGGGACAGGTAGGGGAACAAATAGGGATTTCATACTCTTAAAATACACTGTGAGCCAGGATCAGTGGTGCATGCCTATAATCCTTGCACTGGGGAGGCTGGAGCAGGAGGATTGTTGTGAGTTTGAGACCAGCCTGGGCTACAAAGTGAGCTCGAGGCCAGCCTGAGCTGCACAGTGAGACCCTGTCTCAAAAAGGCAAAAAAGGCAAGATAAAGTACATTGTGATGATAACGGAAAAGAGGAAAATAGAAGAGTAGTTTGAAGGACTGGTGTGCTTGCTTACCCTGAGAAAAATGCAAACAGAAAGCAGCCACAGACCATGGTACAGGAGGGATGGCACAGGGAACGCTGGCGGGAGAGAGCAGGCATGGGAGGGATTAATTTTTGAAGGGAGGAGGAATCCTCTTGCATAAAAATAATGAAAATAATAATGATAACATCTTCAGGGAGGCAGGCAAAGCAGTCTGAGGTGTGGACAGGCCGTTCCAAGAGGACTTCTGCATGTGGCTGCGACATTCCTTAGAAGCAGGAGGGATGCT